TTTTTTTTTTTTAACAAGTTATGTATTCGGACTTAATTATGTTTCAATTATGTATTTGGACTTAATTAGGTTTCAATTCTTGTTGGGTTTTTTTTTTATTGAAACCTAATGTAAGCACCTTATCCTTGATTTATATGTGTTTACAATCTTCAATGAATATCGTACGTATGCTGAAAATAATTGTATTGATTAAGGCATTAATTATATATAGAATAAATATTTAAGGCATTAATTATTTATAGAATAAATATTTAAAGTATTAATTATTTTTAGAAGAAATATTTAAGATATTAAATATAATACCTTAAATATTTATTCTAAAAATAATTAATATTTTATTCGTCGCTTAAGACAACTTTGCACGACAAATCCATATGTTTGTCGCACAGAGCACGGTCAGTCTACGTTCAAACGTTCCAATTAAATGTGCATTGATGACGCATTTTGCGTGACGAACTTGAAATTTGCGCGATGAATATGTTTGTCGCGCAAAGGTGTCCTAGTGCTATATAAACATAGTTTTAGAGCCCTATTTTTCAATTCTTTTTTGTTTCAAAAAGAATGGCCGATTCTGGAGAAGGTTCTGGCAAAAACGAAATTGTAGTGCAATTAGAGAGGTATCGACGGAAGCAAGTGTTGTACTTTCCAATGGAAAAATTTAGCTGAGGCGTACGCCGAATTTAAGTATGACATTGGAAATTTGCTACGGAGGGATTATTTTGCCGAGTTTGAGTCTTGGAAAGAGGTTCCTAAGAAGTTGAAGAAGTCCATGCTAGGAGAGTTATCGGTAAGTTTGTGGTAAATAATGAACAATTATTTTTTTTAAAATGTAATATTTTTTAAATTACTAATTTATTGTTATTGGCATTAATGTAGGTTTATTGAGATGTTGATGAAATCGATGAGAAGCAACAAATTTATGTGGATGGGCTTTTCAAGCAGAGTTTTCGGTAGTGGAAGTTTGATGTGTTACGGGTGGACGATTGAAGTTGATGAGGGTTTTTTTTACTTTATATTTAATTTAATGAATAATTATATGTTAAGTGGATGAGTATTAATATTTGCATTAATTATAATTCCTATTTGGGATAGTAAATTAGTTTTGTTAATTAATTTAATGTTTAATTAGGTTTGAGTTTTTTATTTATAATAAAAAACAAAAATAGAAAAAAATTAAAAAAATATGCATTGCGCGACGATACATTCTTTCGTCACGCAATGTGTTGAAAGGAATAAATTGTAAAGTGAAGGACATAAATAAAAAAATTGGTAAACTTGTGCAACAAATGCTTCTTTTTTCGTCGTGCAAGTGTCATTTGCGTGACGAATACCATATTAGTCGCGCAATGGATGTTTGCGCGACGAAGACCTATTTTATCGCACAAAATCGTTCGTCCAAAAGTGAACTTTTTAATTTGGATTCAACCATGTGCAGAGGCAAACTGCAAAAAAAATTGCAGATTGTGCCTCTGCACTCATCCCTTCAATTTTGCTCAATCCGTCATTTGTCATTTTCATTTTCTTTCAATTTTATCATCTAATACTCCCCCCATCTTCTTCTCTATGTTGATCGAGCTATCTTGGTGTGTTTGGTAAGCATTTTTTATCGTTAGGGTAAAAGTATTAATGTAAATTCATACTAACGCCATTAATTTTGTCGTCTATAGGGATATTATGTGTGATTAGCGATTGGTGGAGAACGATTGAGAAGGTATTTTCTTCGTTTTATTTTTTTAACATATAAAACTAATTAAATTATGTTGAACTTAGTTTGTTATGTTTAAATTGTGTTGTGAAATTATATTTATATTATGTTGTTAAATTTGTGCATGATGTACAAATATATGTTGTGATGTACGGAGTTAATTGAAATTAACTTTGTACTTGTTTTTTATTTTTAGTAAAACTTAGTTTCCCATTCGAGGATTAGTTGGATTTCGCACATGGATGCGGAAGCATGACTGCGGTCCAATTAATTCTTGAATTGTCCCATTATTTGGACAGTTTGGGGATGTACAGTTATGACATGTAGTTTATGGTTGAAGGATTAGGTTTCGATTGTGGAGATGTCGGTGTCATCTCTTTACGTTCTTTGGGTCGTACACCTGAAGAACTGTATTAAGATGCTGCCGAAATTCATCCACGTCGAAATCTAATCTGATGTAGCCGTTACGTGACATGACTATGCATTCTCGAATGGGATAAGGCCCTTACTGAAGGCATAAGGTGACATTATCATTTTGTATGAAGTTGTTGTGATTGTTGTATTGTTATTGTGGTTCTAGGAATTATGGACAGGACGTGGATACAGAACACGAATAGATGCGCAGACAAATACTTGAATGGAATCGAGGATTTTATGGACTTTGCATGTACACACAACCCGGGTGCAACTAGAATCCGGTGTCCTTGTAGGAGGTGTAACAATACGTTAAGCGAGACAATTGAACATGTTCGATTTCATTTAGTAAGGAATGGAATGACTGAGACATATAATCCTTAGAATCATCATAAAGAACAATTAAACAATGCTTTGTCTTCAAATGTCACAAGAGTGGGCAATGTTGAACCTATTGTGGATCCTAATGAACAAGTCATGGATATTATAAATGATGCTTTTCCATTTGCATCGACAAACACCAATTAGGAAGGGGAAGATGATGTGCCTACACCAATGGACAATGTAGAGTTCGAACAACATGAAAAACTATTAAAAAAAAGCCAACCAAGAGTTATACCCAGGCTGCGAGAGCTTTTTCGTTCTCACGGCCATTGTGGAACTAATGCACGGAAAAATAAAGTATCGTATGTCGAACCAATGTTTAGATTACTTTTTGGGGGTTTTCAAGAGAATGCTTTCAAATAACAATTGTTTGCCGAAAGACCATAGACATGCACAAAAGGTGTTGAATGGTCTTTGGTTGGGTTATGAAAAAATTCATGCTTGCAAAAACAATTGTATTTTATTCTACAAAGAGAATAAAGCATTGGATAAATGCCCTGTATGCAATGAGTCAAGGTTCAAAATGACATCTTAGAATACAACGACTAAGATCCCACAAAAAGTCATGCGTTATCTGCCCCTGAAACCGAGGTTGCAGTGATTGTATATGTCAACACATATTGCCACGGACATGAGATGGGATAAGGAAAAGCGAGTTGATGATGATGTCCTGAGGCATCCTGCAGATGGAGAGGCATGGAAAGAGTTCAATTGGACGTTCCCTATTTTGCTGCTGATTCTCATAACGTTAGATTGAGACTTGCCACTGACGGATTTAATCCGTTTGGGGTTTTAAACCAACACCATAGTACTTGGTCGATTTTCGTATTTCCGTGTAATTTGCCGCCATGGAGATGAAAAAAGAATACATGATGATGACTCTATTGATAACTGAGGATCCTGGTAGGTCAATCGATGTATACTCGCGACCATTGGTGGATGAGCTAAAAGATTTATGGACACATGGTGTGCGCACATACGACAAATGTACTTGCAAGATGTTCACTTTGCGGGTTGCAGTGATGTGGACTGTGAACGATTTCCCTGCATATGCAATGGTTTCCGGGTGGAGCACTAGAGGTTATATGGCATGCCCTGTATGAAAGGAAGATGTAACATCTAGTTGGCATGCCGGAAAGTTTTGTTACCTTGGTCATCGGAGATGGTTGCCTTGGAACCATGAGTGGCAAGAGAAGGATAAAGAGCTTGACAGGGAGAAAGAGCATTGCCTCAGACCTAGAGAATGGTCCGATGATTAGATTTTGGAACAGCTTAACCGTTTGGATTTTGCTCATTTCGGGACCAATCATCCTCCTCGCAATAATGACAGGGGTGTGAGAAAAGAGGAACTTTCAGATTTTGGCTAAATCGCTTGACCATTCGGATATCTGATTTGTCGCGAGTCGTTTTCCAAGAAAGACATGGAGGTAGCACATTGGTTTTTACTCAACAATTGTGACGAGACACTGTCATACCTAGATGAGCATGAAAATATGATGAAGTAGGCACATCCTTCACATTTGTATGCCAAGAAACACCGTGAATTGTTTCCACAGTGGTTTCTCGAATATGTAAGTCTAAAGTGTTTTGTATTGGACATATATATATTGTACCAATTAAGTTGCTCGAACTAACAAATTTAAATGTTTGTCTAATATTATCAGGTGAATCAACTGAAAGCATCAAATGCCCCCGCCTACAGTGAAAAGTTATATAACTTAGCGTTCAGACTGATTCTGTTAAGGGGTTACTAACCATACGAGTAAAGCGACGTCTGTCGGGCCTCTGCAGTCAACACAAGCTTACATGATGGAGGTTTGTTGCTTTGTCCACTGGACAAGACCTTTTTTCCCGGACAAATATTTGTATCCACCGACAAAAATGTCTTACGACGGCTTTTGGGTGACGATTTCTACACAATGGAGTTCTATTGTCTTATCTTTTGAGTGACAAACGTTGTCCTTAAGAGACGAATTTTGTTCGTCTTCTAAGTTGGTTTTTTTTTTTTTTTTTTTAAATAGTGGTTGGGTCTCGATCGTGTTCAAGTGGAATTAGATTCATATGTTCACATTAACATAATTAATGTCAAAGCACAACCTTCTTGGAGAATTGTGCATGTCAACCAAGATATCAATTTCCTCAAGTTTTTACAACTGTCGTTCACACGTCTTCCGAAAAACGAATATGGTAAATGGTGCAATGGCGGCAATAAAACAACATTATCATCATAAATGTACTTGGTTATAACAATTTTCTAGTAATAACGTTAAAAGATAGATGTAGTATGATTATATGTTTGTAAAGGTCCATAGAGAATCCTCGCTGTAACTTCAGCTTGTTAAAAAACATTACCCAAAAAAAAAAAATATGGTTAATCATTTTTTAATTATTTTTCTGTCACCTCTCACCATATACAGCAACATGATTGTATTCGTATACAGCAATAGAAACCAACATATGTCGCCATTGCCCCCTTACGACCAAAAAAGTGCGTGGCATTATTTATATACAATAGTTTCTAGTAGGGGCGCTCGTCGTCCTGGTAAGAAGGATCGTAGTTGCAAATGACATAGTTTTGTCCATTCTTGCACTTTGAAATGCCACATCCAACATAAGTAGTTTTGCCCCATATCACACCAAGGTAGTGGCCACATTCATCTCGGACACATTTATTTTGCTGGTAGTCATAGAATTCCCTCTCAGTGACCCAGTATTTGGTAGCGGCTGCACCGGTCATGCCATCACCGGAGGCCAAGTTCTCGCCGTAAGGCCCCATTGAGTGCTCCATTTGGCAGTCCTCGATTCTTTTGTTGGCATAAGCTTGAGCGTACTCGGCTATGGTCTCGTTCCATTTGAGCGGTCCATTGCCAACCTCGGCACGAGCTATGTTGTGTTCCCTGATGAAGCCATCGATCTCTTCTTTGGGTAGGATTGCGGCGACATGCGTCATGATGATTGCGATGGTGAAGATGCCCAAAATAAGCTTGACGTTGAACGCCATTTTGTATCTCGATATGGGGTCGGTTTTGTTGTATAGTAGAGGACGTTGAATTTATAGCTGTTGGTTTGAAAGGAGGAATGCAGATAGGGTTATATTTATAGAGACAAAATAATAGTAGGGTGTCAAAAATAGACCTTAAGAAATGGGAGGTTGCATACATTTCGATTCTATATATAGATAAAGCGGCAGAGGACAGGTAAATAAAGAGAGAGAAGAGAATAGATTGACGTACACTAATTAAGAATTGACAAGCTACTTAATATTATTGTCTAGTGATATTTATCTTTATTTGTAATTGTGAGATTTTAGGTTTGATTCTCACTAAAGACGAATCCGAATGAAATTAATATGCTACCCATCCTTACCCCTGAGTATAGATAATATTAAATGTATTAATTTTTTTTATGAGATTGACAAAAAAAAAAAAAAAAAAAAAAAGCTATGAGATTGGCAAACAAAAGAAAAACTAGAATTTGGTTTGGCTGACTAAATTTTTTTTAGCTCGCATATTTTTTGGTTTCCTTTTGCTTGTCCGGAGTATTTTTCAAGTGGTTTACCTAGTTAAGGATTTTTCTGATACCATCCCTTATAAAAATGTTTTGCTAATGTACTTATTATGTTGGATAAAAACCTACTATGTATAAACATCCAATAAAAACCCAAAATTTAAATAAATTGCCACATAAAAAACTAAGTAACCTATTAATATAAGATTTTTACAACTTATGCCACAACATTCTATAACTGTTCTCATACACCCATTCTTAGCCAACCATTATGGTTAACATTTTTATCAATTTCTTTTATTTGTTTAATCTAAACTGCATATTAATAAAATATTTGTCAACCAAAAACTAATAAAATTACTATTATACCCTTTAATACAAAATTGAAGGGAAGTATTAGGAAAAAACCAATGTGGGCATTAAAGTAATTTTGTACAAACAAGTTTTTTCTCTTGTTTTTCTTTACCTCACAGCTATGTCACTTTATCAATATCTTCTATACTCATTCTCTCATTCTCTCTCTTTCCTAACTACCAACCCGTATTTTTCTGGGGTGCCTGCCAACCAGTTAAAAACAAATAACTCCTCTCATAAATAAATTAAAAAATAAATATTTAAAAATATGAAAAATATATTTCTCAACACATAGAGTATGTGACCTTTGCTAGTAATGAATTAATATAATGCATTACCATATCTCTTAACTATATAACTTTAGATAAATTGTTTTGCGAACATATAAACACCTATATAATAGTAAAACATAAAATAGAAGATACATTTTTTGAAAAGTTAAATTGTAGGTAAATTATATTCATACAAAAATAAAATTGCAGACGCATTATTCTTGTAAAAAAGATAATTTTTTTTTTATATAAAAATGTAGATACATTATTATAGCATAGTAGGTAAATTATTTTCATATAAAATAAAAAACTAGGTAAATTATGACATACCCGGACCTGGAATGTCCACCTAAACTCCGAATTGAGCTATGTTGGCCAACACCCAGAAGGTGACGATGCCATAAAGTGTAGTGAGGTGGAAAATGTGAATAAATTTAAACCTAAAAATGCCTAAATGCAAGAGTGCGCATGTGAGCGAGAATGAACCCATTTCGCATGTGATGTTAGCGGATAAGTAAAGTACAGTAAAAGTAGAATGAGAATTATACCATTGAAGGTAATCTCCTATACCAATATTTGCCAAGAATCCTCGTTGATACGAAAGCTCTGCCACTAAAACCTGGATGGGTGAAAAACAAGGGTGAGTGGGCCTGAAAATAAAGTTTGTAAAACCTTTTCGAAAACGTAATAACCCCTCGCCGTAAAACAAGTATAGTTTCCAAATATATATACATATAGCATGAAAACACTTAACGTGAATAGAAATACTTTAGAAATATGATAAGTCACAATATTTCACATATAAAATATTTTGTGGATGCAAATTTATTCCTCCTTGTTATTGGACAAAATTACACCTATAAAACAAACAACATCTTAGGTCAAGGCCAAGAACCTCACGCGCCCACGATTTTTTTTTTTTGGGGGGGGGGGGGGGGGGTTGGGGCTTTGGCCAAAGAACCTCCGATGCGAAAGTTAGAATTTTGAGGGAAAAGTGTTTGGAGAATTTAGGGAATTTAGCAAGAGTGTAGAACTTAAGATTTTAGAGAAAATGGAGTAGTATATATATAGGGCATGGCCGGCCCCCTTTGGAGAGATGGTGACCGGCCCTTTTATGGCATTTTGGGGTGTAATTTGTAGTTAATTAGTCAATTAATAGATTAATTAGGTAATAAATCAATTAATTAGCTAATTAATATAATTTGTGAAGAATGTTTTGGGGGTTACCTTGTGGAGGAGATTTGATGAGGATGGATGAAATAGGTTATGAATGAATACCTATTTCGGGCACTTTTGATTTGATTGAGGGATGATTGTCCATTTCTCGCATGTAGGAGTTCCGGTGTTCCTTGAGGGTAATTTTTTCCTTTTTACCCTAGAATCCATGCGTCGCCTCCATATTTTTCTTAATTATTTTTTGCTCTAAAAATGCCCCCACACTTGCTAGGTTGCTTACAAGAAAGTGAAAGGGAAATGATGAGATTTATAATGGGATTTCTAGTGACTAGCTTGCATATACATTTCTAAATTTATATACATAAGCAATGGAAGCATATTATCACATATTATCAAAGCTACAGTCATGCAGATCCCCTTCAAGAAGCATAGGTTCATATATGATGCATCAAACAAAATATTGAAGAACAAAGTGAAGGTTGAGTTTTATACCTCTTGATCTATAGCTTAGACCAAGGATGGACCACCTCTAAGCTCTTTGTTCTTGGAACTCCTTGAGTCTAGCCTCCCTTCTTGATTCCTCCACTTTGACAGATTTGGAATTCCTTTGATTCTCCTCAAGTCTCCAAAGTAGAAGACCTTTAAAGATCCATACCCACTAGTGTAGTGAGATGGATGTTGGAATAACCAAAAGGTAGAGAGATGATTAGCTATTTCTCCCTTTGGTGGCTAGCTATGTATGTGTGTAGAGAGAGAGACTTGTTTTTCTCTTGTTGAAAAGTTCACACAAAAAACCCTGATGAAACTTTTTCATTAAACTCCCTTTATAAAGGTAAAAGAAGTAAGTCAACTAATTGACACTTTCCCTCTTCGTTCTTCATCCTTGGCCGGCCACTAAGTGTTTATTTGGGCTTTGGGTTTTTATCATTTCAAGTCAACCTATGCTTGAATAAAAAGCCCAATGGGTTTAGGCTCGATGGGCCCGAATGAACCCGAACTTTTCTTTAAGCCCAAAACGATCTTTCACCACTTCTATGATTTCTTTAGACATTCTAATTAATCATAGCAGTTAATTAATCCAATTAATTAATTCCATCATCCTGTAGTTGTCTCAGCACAAGAGTGTAACGATGTACAATTGTTTAGGTTCTAATTAGAGAGGCAGTGAGGGGATTGGTAGCAATCCAATTGATTAGTATTTATCTAATTACTCAATACTCATAATCACATTACTAGGGTATGGATACTGAATGTCAAACCCCTAATGTGATTGTACTTAGTTATATGATTTAATTAAGCTGTATAGGAGCACCTTCCATCATTACGCTTGATACTTCAGCCGAAGATTCCCGAATCATATCTTAGAGTATTCTTCCTTTCGTAACGAGGATTAGAGATCCCTTGTTGATCATTCACATGCCTATGAGAATAAATCATTGACCCCAACAATGCATAGAACACATCCAAGATGAGATGTGGTCACGTCTCATTATCAAATGATCAGCAACGTATGCCTAAGACAACTATGATGTCTCAGGTCAAAGGATTACTTACATTATTCCAACCAGTAGGGTTACTTGTTTGACATGTGAGTAGACCTCCATGCAAGTACTATCGTTTGATTATGTTAAGTGAACTCATTCCCTTAATGAGCACCTACATACTTGTCTTAGTGTCACTACACGAATGGCATGAGACTTTCCATCATTCCCATTTGAAGGGGACATAATATGTACTGGTCTATGTATTGCCAGTGTCCCTCTAACAATCCTATGACCAAGAACCTTTTGGACATATGGTTATGTGAAGAAAGTCTCTGCAGTCTAACATCATTAGATTACTTCTTGCATGATCCATTATCCATGGATTCACTATTTTGGACATATATCGTTTATCGAGATAGTCCTAATGAGTGACTTTGCCTTTTGTTGTATTAAAGTTATCTATACATACAAACATTGTGCTGAAAGGTTTCTTTCAAAGATTGACTTTCAGGGCACATCTCCAACAATTTCCCACTTGCACTAAAGTTAATCACTAGTGCATCTTATAAATGCTAGTCGAGTGCATCTTATAAATGCTAGTCGAGTGAACTTGAGCTCATAGGTTAACTAGGTTATGTATTAATCCTTTTAACTTAAAAGGGCTTTACTTATTAAATGTTTTTAAAACATTTAACATTGTCTCTTTCTTGAGTTCAAATACTTTGATGAAACCTTGATTCCATGGCCTGAGCTATCACCCCATTACGTCGTAGTATCCTAATAACGACCTTATGGTTTGGATTCAATCATTGGTTCAAAAAGAACCCCGTCTATTCGAAACACCTTTTGAAGTAGTTTCTAAAACTTTAATATATACCGACATATATTTCGTTTGTACGCTTTATACAAACTTTGCTCGAACCTTGAGACCATTGTAGTACCATGCTAACAATACATTCAAATGATTAGTACTTCATCCACCATGAAATTCCATTTGTTAAAATGGGTTATTGTCACTTTGGTTTATAACCTAAGTGAATGCATGCTTCCAGAGTCTCACTCTGATATTCCTTTCTCAAAGGTAATAATACTCTATAGTAGCTACGGTTCTGATCCTGGGCTATAGCAATATCTTAAAGTGACAACCCAGATGGTTATTCACCCTTGGATATCATCTCACAAGTCCATACATGTGTCCCTTTTGTGATTTTGTGACATATTCTTTATAAGGGTCATGAAAGTAGTTTTTCTATCATATGTAGAAATACT